TTTCTCTAATAAAATGTGTTGCCGATGTGCGGTTGTGCACAAAAGTTGGACAGACACAAAATACAAACATATTAACTATTAGGTCTGTACCCTACTTATTTCTCTTATTGGGGTGATGGGCATCCCCAGTAAAATACCATTGAGGACGGTATTTTATTGGTAACACGATCGAGAACGCTCGAAATTTTATTTTTTTTTTTCAACGTTGCCAAATTTAATCGAAAGATAATTTGAGCACCATAATTGGTTGATACCTATTGAAATAATCCAGAAATATATTATATGTTGTTATTAAAATTATAATTGAAATTCGATCAGAAACAATATTGAAAAGACCTACGATAGTTAGAGTCAAGGTACTAAGAATAAATTATATTTTTATGCCCTAGGTTAAGTAGATTTGGGGGCTTAGATGATCTGAAAATGTTGGTAATTACTAATGATCTACCAATATAAATAATTTGTAAAAATGATTGAAGTATAACAAATACAATCTACATATAAATATATAATATTACATATAGTTTATATTTTTGTAAAACTTTAAAAATTTAAGGATTATTATCCTTAGTATGAATATTTTAATAACAGAAACTACTTATTAGAATGTTGATTTAGATCCTTCAACATTTTCAAGAGAATCATCCGCAAAATAATTTACATTAAAAAAGGGGGATTTTCATTTGAAAAATTTAAGTTTGTACCACCACAGGACATTCCTTGAGTACCTAATAAAAAATGATCAGGAATTTGAAAATCTGGTCTTCGGGTATACTTATAAAATCAGAATTTGAATAAAAGTATTATTAAAAGAATAAATGAAGGTGAGCATGTTTGAAAAATCGTTTTGTGTATTACATATTTTTATAAGTTACCTATACATATTATTTTACATTTTGTTCATATATTTGTATTGCCTACCTATATATTATTAGGTGCCCATGTATTTGTATAAGGTTATAATTATTAATTGATGACTTTTTTCAAGAATATTTATTTTATTCATACGGGTAAGAATGTTTCAATAGCCAAATAAATGATATGGCAACGTTGCACGTATAAATTCGTTCTCAATCGTATTCTTTTTCTGGTATTTTTCGGATCTGCAGCGGTAAGTTCTTCGTTAATTTTAAGTGTTCTCAATCGTTCGATAGCCGGCATCCCGCATCCATAAATAGGACCATCCCGTCACCATACATCCAGATTTCAGACCTCCGGCCACCTAGGTATATATCAAGCCAGTTCCCTATCCATGGGTTGGGGGAGGGTACTGGAGGCAATTTTAAGCCCTATAATTAATTGGTAGGTACACTATACCCGTCTACACGCAATAACTAATAACACTGATATATTTAGTTCACGTTTCCAATGTTTGAGCAAACTTGATATTTGTCAATTAAATGATTTATTGTGAAACCATAATATTTCTTAAGAGGACGTCTCACCTGGATGTGTTGTCTCCATCTTACACACTTACGACATAATATAATAGATAAATGAATAAATGATAATAGGTCAATTCACTCTAATATAAGAACTGACAATAGATACGCTATTTTACGAACATTTGCTATGTCGTATGTGTGTAAGACGGAGACAACACATGCGGGTGCGACGTCCTCTTAATTATTTTATCTTTTATATTCTATCATTCAGACATTCTCGCTCCTTCATCAATCATTAGATACGAAACGCTCTCCCAAACATTTTCTTTTGTGCAAAAAGTTTATTCGCCCAACGTTTGTGTTTGACACTAAAAAAATAGACTAGGCATATCGTAACCACGAATGAGGACATGTGTAAAAATTACCATTTTATAAATGTATACCTAATATATTTTGTTTTTATTTGTTTGTAGAATGAGTTAGATTGTTGCATAATATGATTTTTTCCATTAATTTTGGACTATTATTTAAACCATTGTTTAACGATGAAAATACAAGTTTTTTGATTTAAAATTGGCCAATAAAGACGACGTATAAAATGTCATCAAATCATTATATACCGAGCAGAATATTATGAAATAGTTAATATAGTGTGGATGATATTAATTTCCCATGTCAATAACAAACGTTTTTTTTTAAATTCAAAATCACATAAATGCGTTTTATTCACAGATCTCGTCCTACGATCTGCCATGGCCAGCGTTGATACTTGATTGCTAATCGCTATGAACCAGTGACGTGTCGAAGGTATTATTTTGGAGCAATTGCTCCTTCAAAATTGTTGGTTGGTGGGTGTGCTTCCTGCCACAAAATACCTAGCCGCCTAGGTGACTAGGTATATAGTAGAAATATCATAATATCCGACTATACAAATCGTTACAAATGTAGGCAAATTTTGTAAAATTTTTAATTTAAACTTTTTTGCTATGTTGGAAATGCCGTTACAAACATCGTGGGGGGTGGGTGGGTGGGTAACTTGTATACATTTTTGCTCCTCACCAAAAAGGAGTTCAACACGCCACTGCTATGAACACCATCGTTATTTTTTTTAAATATATTTTAAATCACCAAACGCTGATTATACAGAGGTCCCGTGAGGATTTACTCATTGCGATATCTCCTGAAATAATGGAGATATCGTAATTATGTTTTTTTATTAAGACTCGCAGAGGTAAGCACTACAAATATTTTATTTTTTAATTAAATTAAATTTTTTAGTAAAAAAGTTAAAAGAATTATTTTTTTATTTTTTTATTTTTGAAAAAATTGAAGATAGCCATTCTATAGAGTATATTTTTGTGAACATTTTGAGCTTTTAACATTTTAATCATTTTAATTAATCTCATGATTTTTAATAATTTTTTTAGTTTATTAGTAAAACGTCAATAAACTGGTTTTTGTCCGGGCGGCGAGTCCCCCTCTACGGCTAATGAGTAAATCCTCACGGGACACCCTGTATAGGTGATGCTCATCAGGTGATGAGTCAACAACCACGACCCACTATTAAATCCCCGTACTGCCGATCACATCAAATTGCAAACCCGCACCTTGATTACTTAAAACCGTCATTTTGTTAATTGATATAACATCGGTTGGGTTTAAAATTTAAAAACCTACATTTTTTCACAGCACATTTTGTATTCAATTTATTATCTATCACTTGGGTGCTGACACCTGTGTTAATTAGTAATAATTGACACGTCAAAAAGGATACACTGCGCAACAGTGGAGTGGGTAGTTATGAATTTGTCCTGGGGGAGGGATAGATATTTTTTTACCATGTTCATACCTATTTATAGATGTTTTTATTTTCTATTTAAATATATTTTGTTGTGTTGTCAGCAGATAACCCCACCCCACAAGTCACAAATTAATAACTAAATATACTATATATTATAATATTATAAAGGCTCTGAGGGGGAAATCCATCGCCCCTTTAAATACACTCCTGATGTTCAACAGTCTCAAGTATATGACAGTACAATATATAGGTACTGTAATATGACATGTAATACTACCTGTTTTAACAATCATATAATATATACTTAACAATAATCACGAGTAACGCCACAAGAAGGTAGGTATTAAATTCATAACTAATATAATATATTGCATAATAGTATTATTTGGTCATTGTTATGAATTGTGATTCTAAGTTCCTAAATGTTTTAATCATTAAGTTATTGTTACGGTCATACCTACATCCACAAATTTTATAAGATGGGTACAGAGCACATTTGTACAATTGTTGGTCCATTTTCAGGACACTAGTGCTGGATATTTTTTTCATTGCAATAAAAAAAAAGTGGTATTTAGATCCTAATTGTCTGATACCATACAACCGTAGGACTTTGGTCAGACTTCAGTTTTTGATTCATTGATAGGTTTACTATGTTGTAACCTACTATGTTATAATTATAAATTAATAGTATCTGAAGAATATTTCTTTTAATTCCAAGTGCAGAAAATAATATTTAATTTTATCATTGATTTTGCTATATAATTCGTAAATATTAAATACTAATAATTAAGTGTACATACTTTAACTAAAGTCAATTGAAATCAAATTAATGGTAAGCCATACATAATGAGTCATGACAGTAATTTGTAATCATACATTATTTTCAGTCTCAGATACTTGTAAACTAAATTAAATTAATATTTTTAATTTTTAACTTTTATAGTCCAATAGTTCTTAATAAGAATATAATATATTATAATATAATGTATAACATATTAGTATTATGAAAATCAATAACAAACACAATAATTTACATTTAATATTTATACACCAACTGGCAACTAAAAACACTGTTATTCGTGCATATTGACCGATTCTTACATGTTCAAAATAAATTACAATCAGTTGAAATGTTACCATAATACAATATACCAAACCAAAATCCAATAACTTAATCATGATTCATGGTATCACATGTTAAATAAATTACAAATTATTTAATCATAGTTAATGTATAATGGTTATTATCTAGTTCACTAGTGTAGTATTGTAGTAAAGTTAGTAAGGTTTTGTAGGTATACAAGATTCACATCTACAACATTTGGTTTTTCAATTAATTCGAAAATGTAATCATTATACAATTGTTATGGTAATAAATACCTTGAATACTTCATAGTGGTTTGAGATTTAATTACTGGTTTTATCACATCATATTATACATAAATAATCTATTACTATGTTAGTTATTGCATTTGTACAGGTTGTGATTAGGTAATTCATTAGGGATGGCTTTGTAAATAGTCATGCCACCTGAAACTCTAAAATCTCTACCTAAAAGTATTCGTTTGAAAAAATGAAGTTTTTCCAATAAAAAAAATGGTATTTCACATTTATGTTTAAATATAAAGTTATTAACTAAGTATAAAACATAGAATAAATATTGTAAAAAAGAAAATAAGTAAATCTTAAAATAACTTTGGTGTTAGTGGATAAGTTCAGTCTTGTTTGGATGTACCTACGCAATAAAGATGTTTAGCATAGTTGAATTATTGACTTATCGAAGTCTAGAGATAAAAATGATAAACAATTTTTTTTTAACATATCTGGTCATCTGGTTTATCAGTTGGTTTAGTGTGCTCTTCTGAATTAGTAACCTCATCATCCTCCACTTCTACCACATTACAATTTTCAAACTCTGCATAGTTAACTCCACTAGAAAAAAAAAACAATAACAACAATAATAATAATTAACAATAATTGTATGCTATTTTAAGTGATACTTTTTTTTTTTTAAGTTTGTGAGATACTAATGCTGTGTTTAAGCCTTAGAAATATTATTAATCAGAATGTTGTACATGTCTACATTAAAAGCATACAGAACTAATCTAAGGAACAAAACAAGTAGTGATGAATAAATTAAAAAGCATACAAATGAGAGCATGTAGTTTTATAATTGTTTTCAATAAAAATTGAATGATAATAAACAAAAATATAATGTTTCAACACGATACAATAACAATAGTATTTATGAATATATTTAATAAAATAATAATTATTCACATGAACTCAGTTAATTAAGTTAAATTCATAAAACAAACTTTACATATTATACTACAAAAACATACTAATAATAATTATAATAATAATAAAAATAAATTATAATTTTAATACTAAAATTACGTGCAACCTGTGAGATCATATATTTTCGAACTCTTCGGACTGAAAATATTAAAGAATAAGAAGATTCATTAAGTGTACATTTATTTTGATAATCGTAATATCACCAGAACCATTTGCGCAAGACAGGGGTTACATTTTCCAAATCTTATTTGATTTTTTCTCAAAAAGCAGACGGTGGCTACAGTACAGTAAACATGCAATAAGCTACAACATGCACAATGCAAAATATCAATCGTGGAACATACCTGTAGAATACATAATGTTGTAGGAAAAACAATATGTCAAAAATCACTGACAGCAAACCCAAACCAAATTTGGTCGGATCGCCAAACACTGAGGCCCAATCATCTACAATATAAAAAAAGGTTAATAAATTCATAAACTTAATATTTACACTAAAAAATGATGGTTACTGTAGTTATATGCGTTGATGATCATCTGCAATATACTAAGTAATCCTCCTGTGAAATCTAAGAATATGTTGCCGATACTCCAACCAATTGTACTCTTACGCTTGTAATTCATTACCGCCTAGAAATAAATGATTTTGATTATAATACACAAAAAATATAAAATAACCATAGTCCATAGTGTAATCAATATAATATAGTACATGAATTAAACCAAGAACAAATTTAAGTATATATTAATTTTAGACTTCTAATTACAATGATCCACTATTCACTAATAATCTAAAGTTGAAGATGTTTGTCTTAGTAAAAGTATTAATTTATTAAAAAATAACAGGTTTGAATATTTTTAGATGATGAGTGTAACACATACTTGTGGAATGTATTTGATGAGTGTTATGGTCAACTTGATATATGAGCAATAATAAAGGAAGTCCAGCCATACTATCTTTTGTAAATATACTAGAACTAATAGTATGGCTATTAGTAATCCGTAAAAGGACATGATTGATTTCGCTGTCCGAGAAACTTGTTGATCACCTTTCTGCAAAATATACATATATTTAATTAAAACAGGACACTACTTTACCAAATTATTTACATAACATACATGTTTTATATTGTGATGCAATAATATAATAATAATGATAGTAATATTACATAAGCAATTTCAATAAACAGATTTAACTGAAGATTACCTCATAAAAATAACATTGAGTCACAGTTATTAAAGTAGCAAATACAGCATGAATAGAAAAGAATATGTCGTTTAATTGAACTGGATTTAGTCCACGAGGATTTCGGGCAGAGTAGTCTTTCTATTCAATCATAAAAAACAGACATGTAAATAAAAGGTGATCAAAAGACATTGAAGACTATTTACATTACTTCAATTTCAGGTATCCATAAACCAACATTGAACATTGAATATAACATAAATCCAATCAAGTTCAATGCAATAAAGTCAAAATTTAAACCCACAACACTAAAAATAATAATACAAAATATTAATAAATGAATCAGATTTTAATCTAAGCTGCATGTGCAGTATTATACTAAAATATTATCAAAAATATGAAGAACTATATAAAAAAAATACTTATGTAGTTATGTCTAAATGCATAGTCAATTTATATGTCACATAAGACATGTTAAACTATGTCTTATGTGACACACAAATGCACAATGCAAACGGACATTAAAGTATTAAATTGAATAGTGGAACAAATTTATACAATTAAATTTGTTATGTCATTTAATATGTGGCTTTATAAAATATGCTGTTTGCCATTAAATTAAAACATAAAAATGAATAAATATAATCTGTAAATATCTTGGTTAGCATTAAGGATGCTACACACTGCAGCGGTGGCGGTAAAATTCTTTTGTCTTGGCGGTGACCGGACTCATTTTGCCGTAACTGCTGTAGTGTGTGGGGACCTTTACACATAATTTATAAAAACCAAAATGTAAAAAACAAAAAACAACCTATACTTGTTAATAGTTTTTAATGATACGAGACAAGGCCTTTCAATTGAATTAACTAAATAATAATAATACGACTTAAATACTAATTGGCATTAGTACATTCAAATTTTTACTTTAACTTGTTGAAATTTCTAATAAGTCGTAAATCGGTATAACACTTATAAATTATACATAAGCTGTCCAACGGATGTTTACCATGTAGAATATTTCAATCGAATATATTAATACTTCATCAAATATCTAGTAATTACCATGAAAAAATGAATAGTAAAATATTTCTTAACACAACATAAAATTATTTTGTTAAATTTTAAAAATGTTAAATTACAAGGTTGTAGCTTGTTAATTATTATACATTTGTATGTTATAAATGTTATGATAAATTAAAATAAGGCTTCTTGGGCAGGTGTCTGTAATAATATCTACCTCTGAAGCCATACTACATGATGTATTATATAAGATGTCTATAAAACATTTGAATCACTTACTACAGAAAAGGGCATGTCCATTTTTACCAAATTATTTTTATTTTCTTGGTACACATGTACTAACATAGGGACATAATTTTCCAAAGAAATTATTCATACCCAATTAATCTAGTACAAATAAGAAGCACATTAATATTATAGTAAGTCGCAGGGTCCACATAATATTATGTAAAATTATTATAAATGTATAACCAAAAAGAAAAATTGAAAAATTATCATTTCCATCAAAATCTATGAAAAAACAATGTTGGTAAAAAAAATCAAAAATTATCATTTCCATCAAAATTGATGAAAAGACAAACTGTTGGTAAAAATTATGGTTATTTTATTTTGTACTAATGAAAAATGTACTATGTATATACTTTACAATAAAAAGTGGTTTGTCCTAAAGCACATTCTATTTCTAGTTAAAAAATTATTAATAAATTGAGTCAAATATTAACATACAATCTCTAAAGTTGTATCTTTAAAAGAAAAAATTATCTTTAAACTGTATCTTTTAGCAAGTATATTTATTCCTTAATATAACTAGATTGTTTATACGATTCATAGTACATAATAATATTGATAATAGGTTATATTTTCTAGAAAAACGCCTTAGTATGAGTTACCTTTTACGTTTCCAGTTTTCATACATCTGAGGATAGAATGATATTGACCATGCAACAAAATAAATCCATCCAACAACAACACTGAATAAAGCCAATTCATTAGAATGTTGCAGAGTGACTCGTACAAAAGCATCACTTGATCTGTAATAATACAATTAATATAAAATATAACTGTGCAAAATAAAAATAAAAACATTGAAAATGTAATTATATTATAAGAGGAATCCATGAAACATCCCTATATTTTTACATTAAATATAATTGTTTAAAATCAAATAAATATAATTTTTTCATGATTTGAAGTATTAGGAGATATAACATATATATTTAAAATACAGCGGTATTGTTATTGCTTTATGAAAAACATTATTTACATTTCAAACAAGAAAATTTAATTTTTTTTAATGATTTAAAATTTTGAATTTTGAATTAAAATTATCTCGTGGAAATACATTGTATAAAAATTAATCAATATCTATATGTTATAATATTAAAACAACTTTTCTACCAACTCGCTAAGCAAGTCATTAAATGTAAGGTAATAATAATTGTGTTATTAAGCAATATAATATATTTGCTGAAGGTAATCTGCAACAGCCTCATGTCAAGGATTTATATCAAATACTTTATAGGTAGTACGTACACAGTTCAGTATTGAATAGGTACACTAACAATTGAATAAATCACTTGAACTCAGTGAATACAAGAATACAGGAATAACTTTTATAAGAATCAAATATTTTCTTTATAAATATATCAATGGTCTAATAATTTATTTTTTCATTCTTAAGCTATAAGTTTACTTGATATGTATTAGTTGTTCTATCATGCACTCATACTTAAAATGTAAACAATTAAAAATATAATATTTGTAATATTAGGTTTTATTACTTTATGGAAGAAGGATAAGCATCAACTTTTAATAAATCGTGGCCGGCATCATGACCAAACAACTCTACTGGCCATACATTTGGACCTGTAGAATTGGTGACTTCTATTTTTGAAATATTTGTCGTCAGTAAGTCCTTATGATTAGTGCTGAGGATTAATGTGGTATTTTCTGGTACATTGTCCCTGGAATAAAATGGTACAGGTCAGATTAAACTGTGAAATAGGTATTGTATTTAGGTAACAAAACCAAAAATAAATTAAATATTTTTTCAAGGTACATACGTTAAGGTCAAGGTGAGTGTTGCCGAATCATTCACCAACAATACCAAGTCCTGGGTATTGAATGAAAATCTTGCACATGCACGCGATGCACCTGTCAGAAGAATCAATTAATGTAAACTTAAAACACAATGTACACGTCGACATGGTTCTTACTGTAGGTGATCAGGACGAACGCTACTCGAGCAATGCTCCTCATGGTGAATTTCTCAGGTCGGACTGCCATCGGTCACGTACTGAGGTGACTGGGGAAAAAAATAATGTTGAATAACAATAAGAACGAACACACTCTGACGCAATTGTAGTCCAAACAACATGTGCATCATATTATTATTAATAATTTATTGTAATTGTTTGTATTTACATAGGTAACACCACATGTGTATGTGTGCAATTATTTGTCTGACAAAAAACGCGAAACCGCGATCGATCGAACGACGACTCTGACGAATATAGGTAGTTACTCTTTTCGTTAGGTACCCGACAACAGTGGTTGTCGATCGGACGCATGTGCGATCATCCGAGAACGATCGGCGCCACTGTATTCTCGACTCGCACACATCATAACGTAGTAATATTATTTTATTTTTAATTTACAACTAATAAGATCGTCAGTCGTCACTCGATAACTGCATCAGTCCGTTCTCCGTCTTGCGTGTCGAATATTTATAATTACACATTATTATTATTATAATAGTTACTCGAAGCGTATTGCACTATACATAACAGTTATCCGATTTTCTCGTACCGAACTGGCTACCGTGTAGGTACATGTTATTATCATGGTAATATTATCGTTGTTTATTTAAATAAGATACGTCGAACCATAGAACAGACCGAACAGACGATTGACAAGGTTGTAATGCATCACTATTCACTATGCATGTACCTACAATCTAAAATCAGTTAAATCGTTATGTTACCGAATCGATGGCGATCGAGCCGGTCAAAAAAATAATCAATACCCATGAATGTCTGCACAGTTTTCAGCCGGCCGTTATCATAGCAAATACAATACTGATTACTGGCCTTAACGCTTTTATAATCGCTAAGATAATAAGATATTACATCACGTTCAATGTCGATCTGTTCAACAATGTAGGTCGCGGGAGTGCGTAAATTATAGTTATCATCGAGTATTAAAATATTCAATAAAAAATTATTATGCAGTGGGAACAGGGAAACAATAAGCGACTACAACATTAATAGACTAGCACAGTAGCGCAATAGTTTTTGAAGTTTTGAACGCGGACGCGCTCGCGCTAGAGATAAGACGGGTCGGTGGTCACGACTGATAACGGTACTGCTGCCTCGACGCCGCCGCAACTGTAGTCTTAAGCCTGTTAAGGAGACTGCAACACGCTACACGCTGATATTTTGTTGTCTCCGTCTTAAAGTGAGTAACATAGCAAATTTACGCACAGCAGATCGAGTTTAGCTCCTTTAGTTTAAAAATTTGAGTGAATCGACCTATAATGAAACTTAATGATAAGAACATTATCTGTGTTTTTATATGGTTTTTTTACGATAGGTAATTCAGTTTTTAAGTGAGTTATAAGCTTTTTTAATTTACGCTATATTAGGTATATACACATAACTTGCTAAACAATTGAATAATCGTAAAAACCTACATAAAAACACAGATAATATTCTCACCATCAAGTTTCATAATAGGTCGATTAACTCTAATTTTTGAACTAACGGAGCTAAACGTGATCTACTGAGCCTAAATTTTCTGCGTACTTGTAAAACGGAGACAACAAATGGCCGTGTAGTGTCCTCTTATTATTATTATTTCAATAAAACCAAAACCTTTTCGGCGGCAGACGGCCGCGGCGGTGGCATGATATCGATCCGATAATATTACACAATATTACATAATAATTAATATTATTATTATGATTGTGAGGATGTCAGTGCTGCACTATTAATTGTTTTCTCTCACAGTCTCACTGACCCACAGGCCACCACCCACGCCTGTGTGGGCCATTGGGCTATATACAACGATAGGTACAACATATTATCTAAAATAGTTATCAAATTTGCATTCAGCAGATTCACTAACCACTCTGCTTGTGTGTTTAGGTTTATGGATTTAATGCTTTATATTAGAGTAGCCAGTAGGTATACCGTATACCTAATACCTAGACACTTGGACATTTCACCAAATGTTTATATTAACATTTGCTATCCATTAAATATATATTTTTTTAATATTTTAACTCTTTTTGACCTACCTATTTATAAGCAAGTGAAATTTAAAATAAATAAATAAATAAAAACATTTTTGCTAGTTAGGTCAAAACACTGGAAATATTTAATATATGGGTCTTTATAAGTTATAAGTTGTTATTACTAGGTAGGTATACTAAAAAAAATATTTTGAATGTTGATACTTTTGAAAACTATACAGGGAATTTTCCATTTTGACCTCTCGGCTCTAAATATAGTACCTACCAATTAGATTCACTTTATCACCAGAAAAGATACTCTAGTTGAAAATCGATGCATTCTTTCAAAAGTATATGTATTATCGTGTATCCACAAGAAATAAAAAAAACAGTATTATGTATACCTACAACCTACAGTATTGTAAAATAAATATGTAGGTACCTCCATTGCCCCTCCCAGAGTCAGAAATGTATACCAATTTAGGAAAGTAAAGTACCTACTTATAATAGTGATAAATGCCGAGTGCTGACTGATCGTCTCCGCTCAGAATAGATTTTGTATACAATAATAATATATTATCATTGCATTTAAATTATATGGGTATATTACAGTCAACGGCTCCCGCAATGTGGCCATTACCCCCCTGGGTATATGTAACTGCATGTAGGTACTTTAATATCAATCACTAAAACTATTGTTAGATTATAAGTCATTCTTATATCTTGCCCCAGGTGGGATTTTATCCTGTGGGCGTGTTTGATTACAGTGACTTAAGACTTTATATACTTTATAGTTTATACTGTCTTAATGACGAGGTCCGATCAATCGATGCCTCAAATTTACAGTAGAGCGGCACCCGCACTTGCCGAACATTTTACGATATTTCTGCAACTTTTCTGTGATTTATGAGCATTTTTAAAAATTGCAATATTTTACATAATGGGTACTATAGGCGTTATAGGTACTTTAATTTCATAAGTCATAATAAATTATTAGTTAAATACCCGAAGTTATAGTAGATACCTAAACCTAATTATTGACTGTTGAAGTATTTATAGTTTATACACTAAATACGTATATATTATACTTTTATATAATGTATAAAATGCGTAGTTAGGTACCTACCTATAGGTATTTGTTGTCCTAGACGTCAACATTTTAATAGTTTCGAAAAATGTAATTTATTTTTAATCCAAGTAAATCAAAAAATTATATGAATTATAGTGACTATATGGAAGTTGTGGCTATCTGTAAATTGTAATTGGTACCTACTGCGTAGATAATCATTTGTCAATACTATTAATTGAAAAAGCTTACAAGTAATAAGAAGTATTAACAGGACAAACACTACAGTGATACACAATGTTTAATATAATATATAAATATACCAGGTGATCTATTTAAGTGTCTACATAAACTCATTATTTCAAAAAGTTTTATTTCTTTTGAAAATATTATTTTTATATAATTTGATGTCATTTAAAAATTAAAATTCAGAAATGTTGTTTTGAAATGACATCAAATTATATTTTTTTTTTTTTTTTACATGTTTTCAATAAAGTTGAAAATAACATAATAAGTGTAGATACTTAAAAGGATCACTCTGTATATACCTATTTATTATATATTTGTTCCGGACTTCCGGTAGACTGTGAACTTATCAAACAATTTCCTAAATTGATCATTAATTAGTTCAAACTTAAATAACATATCAATTACGCAGAAATGACCTTTTTATCTGTAAGAAATCTATTGATTGAGCTGCGTATCATTTCAGCCAAACTTTTTTACATCTTGATTCCGCAGACTGTCAAGTTTTTACTATTATTCAAAATAAGAAAAATCGATCTAAAGTATTTGTTATGTCTTATGTGGTTTGAGTTGAGTCACCAGTGATGAATTAATAAATTTCATTTTTATTCCATCCATTTGATTAAATTCTGTCTATCTAAAATATTGAAATACTTAAATTTTTTTTTCATGAATACAAATTTGAAATTATTATTGAAAATAACTATCGGCAATATGCTATTACATACAAATATATACGGCTTATCAATACAACATTATAGACCATGGTCACGAAAAAAAAATATTTTCATCACGGAAAAATATTAATTAAACAAAATATATGTACCTATACTTTAGTCATATTTTTGAATTTCTACAAAATGTTATTTGTTGAACATTAATTATAATATCATATTGAATAAATAATAATCTTTTCTTAGTATCTTGACTCAGTCTTAGGTAATGCTTAAAAATAGCTGCTACTAGTCAATCGTAATTTATAGTAAGAAGTAATTAGTTAAAGAATAATAATTATAATCATTTAACTTTTAAACTTGTTATTAATCCTATAACTGAACTAAAATCGCTAATTCATTGGTTATAATAATATCTCCTATACAAATAATTTAAGTATAGGTATACTATAGGTTCCTACCTATATATTGTATATTAATACTTATTAGGTACAGTTGTATATCATAGATATTATGTATACCTAAGTGTTAAGTAGTAATAGTACAATGGATGCGTTAGTAATTGTTACAGTGGATGATGTATTATTTCGAATGGTTTCATGATATATAACAAAAAAGCATACACAAAACTTTTATCATAAGTGGAAATCGGATGTTATTTTTGGTTGGTGGACTGAGTGGAGGGGGGATAACAACTTAAAGTACTTAAATGGTAAATAATGTAATAGTATACTCAAATACCCAAATTTTCTGGCTGCAATGTTTTTTTTTTTGGTTTAATATGTTAACTATCCAAAACCTAAACAATTTACTAATTACGCATTAGACACTGCTATTATTGGATTCACCGCGGTGAATATACTCATTCGCCTATTGGACTCAAACAGGCTGGTCCTGATTTATATGTAAACTTATACACATAAGGAAAAATTCTTATACTTATTGAACTCACACACTGGTGTGGTTAATATGGTCAATGTATATTTTTAGTGCACATTTCCTGAATTTTTAATCCATTTTCACGAATTTATCATTTATATTTTGATGATTATCAGTATTTCCTCGAATT